GCATTGCATCGGCTGGTAAGAGGTTCTACGTAGATCCTGATCCTGGGGTAGGAACCATTGTCCAGATGTTATAAGTGGGATCGCTGTGCCCATCATCACCGGGTCCCGTAATAGCATGGGCGCTCTGACATTTGTCCAGGCCATGTGCCTCACGGCGATATTCCGTCAGTCATTGCGTCAAGACAGGATGGTTTTGAAGGCAGGATTACACATGATTATAATAATGGGCGCACTATAGTACTGCTATGTATGTTCTGGCCTGTTCTGTTCCCACCAAGAGGCAACCATGTGGTTCTGCGGTCACGTTGTGGTACTCGGCCAATTTTACTTGCCTTTTAGATTAATTCACGGGTGGATAAAAGTATAACCACCCCCTTCCCAAAAGAGGCCAGTGATATAGGAAGGGGGGTGCAAGGCAAGAAAGGAAGGGAGAGCGAAGGGGACAGAGAGAACAAGAGATAAGCGAGAGGCTTCGCCCTTGTCCAGGGGTCCTTCTGTCGAGGCCTCTCAGCCGCATTTGAAGCGAGAACCTCCGATCTGCTTATTCTTAGGCCTGCAAAAAACACATCCCAAAAGAGAGAGAGATGTGACCCGATCGTACCCGGCGGGTTGGGAACTAGGTCGATGATTGTTCAATTTCCCTTGGCTGGGTCTAACAGGCCCCAGGATCTTAGCCGGTACATGAAGGCGTTTCAAGCTTCTGGCTGGTCTCTTGCCCAATCACGGGGGTGGGGAACACTGCATATGGAAATATGATGCAATTAAAGGGGTCATCGTAAATTTGATGCACATCGACCCTGCAGCCTCAGGTACATTACATTGCATGCTGCAGCATGCAGCCCATGTCTGCAGATCAACTGACAAGCAACTTTGCAACAACGATTGTTCATCAGTTCCCAGTTTGTGGCTCCCGACGGAGGAGGGGGGAGAACACAAACCCCCCCCCCCCAAGAAGCAAACCAAACAACCCCTTGCAAACTGTGACTGCACCAAACCGTGACCACCTTACTACCTACAGTAGTAAGCTGTAGCGTCCCCCTCCACCTCCACCCCCCATTCGAGCCTGTCGAGCCTTGTCCTCTTTCACCGCCCTGTCTTATCTTTTTGTGTCTATGTGTGATGTGCCTTCTGTTTTGTCCTGTGCCGTACCCCGCAGTTGAAGGTTGGTCACCCTGCCTGCCACCTCGTAAGCCTGAACGAGTACGTGCGGAGTAGCTGATACGAGTACAGCAAATGGTATCATGAGGTACGTATTGCAATATGTACACCATGCTATGAACCATTCAGACCAGGCTTATGAGACGTGACACGAGAACGACAGAAACTTAAAATAAAAAAAAAGAAGGAAAAAAAAAAAGAGAGAAGAAAAGAGCGTGTTCCACAAGGTACGACTCAATGCATCCCAACCATTTTAGCAGTGTACCTATAGTATCATAGTATCATAGCACATAGGACCCTGGCTGATAGTGTCATTTCTGCGAACTGAACAAATAAATAGTGGACCCTTTGACTGGGGGGGCAGGCAGGACCAGAAGTACATACTTACTATAGTACATAATGAATAGTAGCAGTAGCGGGGAGAGCTGGTCTCCGTCATGAGTGGAGACGTGTAGTCCTAGCTCGTCACCGTTTTCTTGCTATACCTGGGATGATCCCTACCTGTGGCCCTTACGTTCCTGCCTGGAGTGGACCGTTCCTCGTCCGTCTGGACATCCAAGCAGCCACGGCTAACCTTGTAACACACGCCTCCTGCTGGCTGGGAAAAGGAATGATTGGGGGGAAGAGGGTGGTGGCCATAGTACGCAGTAAGGTAGAGTTGGTAAACAGCTCCTTTTTCTTCTTTTTTTCTTTTTCTCCCTCGAATTATTCTCATTCTCATTCTCATTTCTCCTCTTTCTCACCTGGGTTCCCCCCCCCCCCCCCCAACCTCTTTTTTGTGTGTCTATGTATCAACGTACTGTGCCTTCCTACAAAGTAGTACCCTAGTTGCTGAGTACTGTATGTACTGTTACCAGTACCGTACCCCTCTCTCTTTCCTTCCCTCTGTACCCCTGGTCAGAGAAACGGACCACTGGTAGTTAAAGGCCAAGGGAACCCACTACCCACTCATCTACAACCCCCCCCCACACCCCGGTCCTCCAACCACGACGCCGCATCCCGCCTCCGCCTTACTTTGCTGCCCTGCGCCCAGACACGCCTCACGACACACGAAGGGGGGAACCTTTTCCAGCTTCGTCTTTTTCTTGGACCTGATTCTCATCCTCCCACCTTCATTTGTTCCCAGGCCAGCCGTGGCTTTTGATTACTCGGCGCTCGATTAGATCCACCCTATCTGCACCCCCTGCCTCGCTCGGCTCTTGACTTCCGGCTTCTTGTCCCTTCTTCAGCAGCAGCACTTGGTCGGGTGTGTCACGTTACCTGGGCAGTATCACCCCAGGGATTCGTCCAGCAGCACCGCCCATAGCAGGAACCAAGCATCAGTACACTGTACCCAGTACCTGCGTCCAGCACCAGTACCGAGACCAATACAGCACGCGCATAGCACAGCACAGCACAACACACGCTACAAGTCGGTACCTTGGCCGGTCTTGTTCTGCCTCGTCCCTACCTGCAAGCTAGAGAGACTCTGGCATCCTCTCCTTTCCGGCCCTGATAGCTGCCCAACTGTCGATCTCCTCCTCGCGCCTCCAACGAAGTTTCCTCACCGGTAGCAGATCAGGCAACTGTTCTTTGCTCCTCCTCTTCCTCCTTCCCCTCCTCCTCCTCGTCCTCGTCCTTGTCGTCCTCTCGACGTGACGACGCCCACGCTCCCGCGCAGCCGTCTTCTCAGTCAAGGCGCGCCGCCTATCGAAAGCTGTACTGCTGCCACGGGAGTAGGGTGTGCCTGAGCCTCTTCTCCCTTCCCTTCTCGCTGGGTCCTCATCGATCCGGGGGACCGAAGTAGGCTCAAGCCTAACCTGCTACTGCGCCAAGCCTAAACTGTCGTCGAGACCTTGTGGCGCAGTTATCGGGCTAAAGAAACCCGCGTCGATTTGTTGTGTGTTTGCGTGTGTCTGTGTGTGTGTATGTGTGTGTGAGCGTGTGTGTCTCCGTCTCTCTGCTTGGACGAGAGGGAGAAAGAGAGAGGGCTTTGAGAGCTTTCTTTTCTTTTTTCCCCTTTCTTTCCCCCCCTCTGTTTCCTTTCTTACTACCTCCCCTTCTTTAAAGGGGGTTTGTGTGTGTGCGTGTGTGTGTGTGTGTGTGTGTGTGTGTGTGTGTGTGTGGCACTGTGTGGTCTGAACGTGGACGTTTTTCCTGCGTCTTGCGTTGGCCCTTGGCTTCCGACCTTGGTGCCGCGCGCAAGCTGGCCCGTCTCTAACCAGCCTTCCGCCGTATCACACACATCACATCCCATTATCTCGGCACCTGGCGACCATCTCCAGAAAGATCCTTGTCCTTTGCCCCCCCCCCCCTCCCTCTCAGTCCAAGAGGACGGAAGCTCCACGTCCTCTCACACACATCCTGGACTTCATTCGAGCAGTCACCCTGCGCCTTGATCACCAAGGGGCCCTTCGAGACGCGCCCACACACACTCTCTCTCTCTTTCTGACGTTCTCCCCCCCCTCCCGAGGCTACCAGCTTTGCCCCTCACGGTCTGACCACACTGCCCTGCCTGCTGCGTACACTTTTCTTCTTCGTCCAGCTCCGCCTCGCCAGAGGGATACGTACCTCATCGGCGTCCACAGTACCTGACTGCAGGGCAGGATCTGACCCTTCCTGAGCACCAACCCCTGCCCTGATCCTAGTCATCCTAGGCAGGTTCAAGCGCATGTCCATCTTCCTACTACCTACTACATCACGCTTCCCGGTCCCGGTCAACACGCCTGGGTCTTTAGGTCTCAGGTTGTCGGATCGAGAAATTCTTCCTTGTTGTCGTCAACCTTTCTTCACTCACAGCCTCTTTCCTCTCCTCACCTTCGCTGCTCTTCCTGCTACGAGTCAGCATCTCTCCTCGGCCTGAAGAGTGGCAATAGGCGATTCCCCCGCGGGAGAAGGGGAAGAGAGAGATAGAAAGAGACAGAGAGACACACACAGAGAGACACAGAGACAGGGACAAGGAGAGGAAGAGAGAGACACACACAGAGAGAGAGAAAGAGAGCATTGGCCTATCATCTTCCACCTGATACTTCCCATGGAATCCGCGGCTGCGCTTGCTGCCTGATCAACTCGTCGTTTCTACTCGCGCTGATCTGGGACACTGGCCCTGTTTGCTGGCTGTCAACCCTGGACACACGCGCACCCAACTTTTTTTTTTAAAATTTTTTTTTTTATCCTCTCACATTTTTTATCACCCGGGGTCCTGGGTAGTCAAAGTACTGTACTTTGCCTCACATACATAGTATACCTGACCACCCAGCAGCATGGAACAAGGGCATACAGGGAAGCGGCCTCGCCTCTCGACTGGATGGCCAGCGGGCCCCTCTCATCATGCTCTGTCACTTCCTCCGCCGCCTTTAACTACTCCTGCTCACCATCCACAACCTCTTCCTCCTCCTACATCTTCTCAATACTCCCCCTCGCCGCACTTTCCTCCTTCTCCTCACTCATATCCCTCGCCGCATGCCTTCCCCCCCAGGCCTCAGGACTATCCTCCTCAACCTCCCTCACAACAACAACAACAACAGCAACAACAACAACCGCCACCACCACCGCCGCCGCCACCACCGCCGCCGCCGTCATTGTCACAGCAGCAGCAGCAGCAGCAGCAGCAGCAGCAGCAGCCGCCGCCGCACTTCGATGACCGTAGGCAGCATGAACCAGAGAGATACCCGCCCAGCCAGGATCACCGTCACCATCTCCCACCCTCACCAGTGCACCAACCTTATGCACCGCAAGCCTACCCACCCCCGATTCGCGACTCCATGGTGAAGAGGGAAAGCGAAGACATCAAACTACAATTACCCCAGATCGTGAGGGCCAACTCGAATGGTCCTGACCAGTCCCAGTCTCATCTGCCTCCACCGCCGCCTCCTCCCCCACCATCTACTGCTGCTGTGCATGGCCATCCGTCTACCGGCCACATGGAGGAGAGGAGGCATATGAGCTACGACAACGGCCCCGGGCCGCAGCTGTACCGTCAGCCTTCCTATCCTCCTCCGCCACACACCCCGCTGTCTCATCCTGGTGGTCCTACCACCCCATATGAGCAGACCCAGATGTATCCTCCGCCGCCCATGGGACCAGATGGTACCTATCCACCCATCTCCTATGCAGCCACGGCTGGGAAGCGTAAATCTCAAAGAGCTTCACAGGTATGTCCGCTGAGACCCATGTGTATATATCCCCTTCCAGGAACCAAGACATACTAAGTCCGTTTCAAGGCTTGCGATAGCTGTCGGCAGCTCAAGGCGAAATGCGACGAAAACAAGCCTTGCAAGAACTGCCAGGAAAAGAACATCGTCTGCAACTACCGTGATCCGGCCCCCAAGCAGTGAGTATACCAAATTTCCCCCTCCTCCCTTTCCCCAAATTTTCTCCCGAGAAAATTCGGGGCGTAGTCCGCTCTGACCAGAAATCATACAGGCAAGATAAGGCCACCCAGGATATCCTGGAGGCAGTGCAGAAGCTGCTCCTGGCAGATAGACGAGAGATACTTGGCGAGCTCGTGGCAATGAGGAACGAACTCCGAGAACTCAAGACTGGTGGACAAGTGGTTTCGGTACCCATCTTCCAGGGCAATACGTTGCCCGAGAGCAAGAGCCTGCCTCGTGTGGTAGACAATGCCCTTGTGGTGGATACCAATCGTGCAGTGGAGATACCCCGTGCATCGGAAATGCATCACCCAGTGTCTCCTCCGACCCAGATGGCCGAAATCGAAGAGACGGTCTTATCCTCTCCCGGGGAAGGGCCACCAGCAAACGGCAACATTCCAGATCCTGAGGCTGCTACCAAGAGAATCCGGCAAATGGAGACCGAAGATGAGGCTGATGAGCCGCCAGGCCAAACAGTCCGACCCCAAGAGGCGCCATTTCCCCACGATCACACAACCCCGGCAGGTCGTCTACTCTCGTGGCCCTCGATTCGGAGAATAGTCGGGCCAATGTTAGACAAGGAAGGGATCAAGTATATCGACAATTACCCACAACGCCGAGAGGAAAGCCGCGGCCAGTTGCCCCTGTTCGGACGCGGTGATGGATCCACCAAGTCAACGACTGAGCCAGTCCCGACTTACGAGTACCTGGACCTTGCAGACGACAGTTCCCAAGCCGGTGACCATCCGTCTCCCTCGACCGGAACAGACTGGGGACCTATCGGAGGCCCATCGCCGCCAGGAAGCTTGCCAAGTGATTTGCATGCAAAAGTGAGCCGGACGGATAGTCCTCTGGATTTCGATGAGGGAAAAGTATGGAAATATGTCGGATCTTACAAAACTCACATACAGAACATGCATCCCTTGATCCCTCCAGAGGATCTTGATGCTATGGTGGTCTCCTTCCTCGACGATGTCGGTGCTAGAAAGTCCAAATCCCAGGCAAAATTTGTCAGCGCGCCAGAAGGAGCAATGCAGTCGGCAACCTCCGATTTCGACAGGAAGCGGAAACGATCACCCGGACCGAATGGCGCCGAGCCGGGCCCGCCGTCCAAGAGAAGTAGACCTCAGCGCTCTTCCAAGCACGCCTTGGTGCTTCTGGTGCTGGCATTGGGCAAAATCTGCTCATGGAGGGAGAGAAAGCTCCCTGAGGCGGTCGACAAAGATTCTGCTCCGAGTCACGGCTCACCAATCGTCCGAAATGGTCACGTCACATCACCGAACCAGAGCTCCCCTCCAGCGAGTGCAGTCTCACAGTCTCCAGGACAGGCCGGGCTACCGTCGCCTAAGGATCACGACCGGTCAATCGCGAGCAGGCGGTCATCCGTGCAGGCCTCGGGTATATCGGGTCCTACCAGCGCAGCATCGCCCGCACCGCTGAAGAGGAATTACGAGGTGATTCCGGGTCTTGAATACTTCGCCTACGCGACAGACATACTCGGCAATCATTTCGGAAGCTATGAACTGAGCCAAATACAAGCACACATCCTCGCATGTCTGTACTACGGGCAGCTGGGACGTGTCCTCGCAAGCTTTCGTCATATCAGGTTTGCCTGCCAGATGATTGTGGACAAACTTCAGCCGCAAGTATACCCTGCATTTCTAATAAAATTTCGGCATTGCTGACAATAAACTAGTGCTATGGAGCGATTGAGCCGGTTCCTGAGCTTCGATTCTGGGAGGGTTGTCTCGCTCAGAGACAATAAATATCTGGTTACATTCTGGACATGCTGTCAGCTGGAGAGGTGAGGAGTCAGCATTCCGGTTCACCAAAAAAAGCATGATGCTAACGGTCGCAGCGACATCCTCGCCGAACTGAACCTTCTGCCATCAGGAATCCTCCAATACGAAGGCCTTCTGCCGTACCCCGACATGACAGTTCTTCATGACGAGCTAGGCTTCTCGGAAGAGGTAGTTAACAGTTACATGGCGCAGCTTTACTTACGCAAACGGATGAACGAGATATCCGGTCAGCTGTACAATCCTAAGCACAGGCCTGTGTACGACGAACAAGTGGACATCACTCACAATATCGAGTTGATGCTGGCACACAAGGACGTGTGGGCTATGAAGTTTGCTTTCGATGTGAAAGACGATCCCTCAGAGGACATCCTCCACGCCCGTTTCCGCGCCAAATTCTGGGGGGCCAATGTCATCACCTACCGTCCATATATCGAAAACATCATGCGGTGGTGTTATGGCCGATGTCATCCGGAAGAGGCCCGCGATCTTCCACAATGCACGTTGCTGCGCGATTACATGCACGTCAAAAATCCAGACGAGCTACCTCCCGGGGTTCTTGACAACGCTCGAAAGGGAATAGCGGCGTTGATGCAGAGCACACAGGCCTTCCACGGCTTGAAGGACAAGCGTTTCATCATCACCAATGTCTTTGGAACAGCACATGCGTAAGAAACCCATATATTTTTTTATTTTTTCTTCCGTTTCTTAATTAGAGAATCCATGCTGACCTGAGTCACAGGCAATGGGGCAACCTCATTACGCTTCGTGCAGCCTACGAGGATCCAGTGCTCGGGCCGGAGGTTGACGAACCAGAATTGCGACACATGCTCAGGAAGACCATCGAGTTCCTGGAAGTTGTTGCCCAAGACTCGAGCAGTCTGGCTGTTGACCTAAGGATCCTGAAAGGACTGCTAGAGTCAATGCCGCCGAAGGACACACTGATATACGGGATGGCCGCATTCCCGGACACGCCGAAGCCAGAGGAGGAAGAGTTCAAATCACCCACGCCCGTCGTATTCAACGGACCCAGCCCGCACACCAGTACAAATACCCCGAACCACATGAACCAGTCGACGCCAATGGACTGCTCTTGAAGCACACATCAACCTCGCCTGAGCGATCCAGCGCGAACGCACGTGTTGAACACCATGGGAATTGCTACCTTGACCGAGACTGCACATGGCTGCTCAAGGTCGGGTGCGCAGTATGTTATTTCAGGGCGATTAACGCTGTCATTGCACGATGTTATCGAGCTTGCCTCCCGGCTTCGACGCTACTACTTCATAATGACAAAGGTTCGAAGGAAACGAATACAAGTGCGCTTGTACATGAATATTCTAAAACCAAAAAGATGAGTAAGAGAGAAGGAAAAAAAAATTACGCCACCAGAAAAAAAAATAGAAACAAAAAGACAGGGATGGAATGACTGGTATCTGCAGGGCCTACAGAACACTGGAGTAGGAGTCTTCACGGACGTAGCTTCGCGCCAGATGTGGATTCCGGTCTGCTTTCTCTCGTTTCCTTCCAAACTTTCCTGCACACATCTTTTCACACTAATGTTCCACGGAAAAGGTCGGATGGAAGGAGGAATATGCATGGGGCTTGATGGGAGGGGTCAGGTGCGGTTTTCTACAGTGTTATCAAAGCGCGGGACGGGGCGCCTAGCATGGGCGGGCTGGGGGGTTCTGGGTACATATATATATCCATCATCAAAATATGGAACAGGAGGACGAGTCTGGTCGGTTTGCATAGCGAGTCCAATGGGGGATTGCCATGAGGGCGGCGGGGTGGCCTTTCCTCCATCATTGTCTGTTTTGAATTTCATCTTTCTCGGGTCATCGCATCAACGCAAGCAACGGGTGGGCTGCATCCCTGGGAGGAGATACCAATTACACATCTAGGGGTCACTTGGTTTCATGTGGTCTCATTGGTCTTTTTGTTCTGGTTTCTTGTTTAGGTTTCTCGGGGTTTTTTTGGGGCTACAATTTCTTATTCCTTTTTTGCCTTCTATGATGATGAGGATACCTATGGGTGAGCGGGGTGTGGATCAACCTGTACATCTACGGTCTTCCATCTTTTGTGGTTTTTGGTGAGGGGTTTCTTTTCGATGCGTCCGCGTGTGTCGATATACTGTGGAATCAAAGGTTACCCCGTCAGGATTACACAAGCAGCCTGGAGAAAGCAATCAAGCTCTCAGGATGTTTGGCCGAAATGATACGCTCTGCTCGAATCAACTCTAAACTTTCCTTTGCTTTCCCGGCACAAGTGATATTGGTGTGGGGCTCCGGAAGAAGGGGGGGGGGGGGGGGCAGGGTGCCTCTGGCTTTTTTTTCTTCTTCCTCGTCCTATCCCATATGCAATGCCACCACCCATTCATTCGTTCATTGCCTATCCAATATGCTCGTTGAAACACGTGTGTCGGACTTTTTTCGTAGCCCCCAATGCCAGCCCCGCCATCAAACATCACAGCAACACGACGATCAGGCAGAGCCAGCCGTCCGGGTACGCCGCTTCGCGCATCAGTTCCTCTAGCGGGGCCGTGAACGGCACGGGAGCCCCATGGAGCACGACGTTTGCCAGCACCGGGTCCCTGCTGCTCGGGAACAATGAGGGGAGCAGGCTACGCAGCGCGGGGCCAAGGGTCTGGGGGGTTGACCCTGTAGGAAGGGGAAGAGAGGGCACAGATAGTGGTCTTGTTAGCGAACATGGATAAGACAAATAACAGCCAAGACAGGAGGCCGGGGAGGGGATAAGAAAGGAGTGTCAAAAGAGGGGGGGTGGGGGAGGCGCGACGGCTTCGTCGGGTCGCTTATCGGGAGTCTCAACAGTCTTGCGTAATGAACGACCTTCCTCGCTTGCTCCTACCATACGCGGTCGCAAACCCGAAGGATCAGGATCGTGTCATGGACACTGGTCTTTTGTGGAAGGGGTAGGGTAGGGAGGGGGGGGGGTGTGGTCAGGGCGCGGCGTGGCCAAGGGGTCAAAGCTCTCTTTGTCTCTCTCTCTCTCTCTCTCTCTCTCTCTCCCTTCCTCTCTTTCCATCTCTTCCTCGCTGAAATCAGGGCAACAGAACGTAGGAAAATAGGATGATGGCTCACGGTTTGGTAAGCGAGGCTCCACGAGGGACTGCATCACCTTGAAGCTTCCCGGTGCAGATCCGCTGGCGTCGCCGCCCGGCGGTGTAGAGGGAATGTAGATACGGATAGGAACGTGTTTGAGCGGTGTCGGAGGGTTGAGAAGCTGGGCGTTGACCTTGGCGAATGAGGCGTAGTCGTCTGGAGGGGTTTTCAGACAAGGTGTCAGTCTCACATCCCAGGTCTTTCTCACTCCTTTCTCCTTCTTGGGGCTTCTCTTGGGCCTTCGTTTGTTTCTCTTGAGCATCCCTCCCCAACTGGAATCAGCCATCATTTAGTGATGGGGTGGAGATCATGTCAACGGCAAGCAAGGCCAGAGAGGGTGGAGGTAAGGGAGGGGTTCCTGTGCCCTGACAGTTGACGTGCAGCAACGCGTAGATCTCGAGAATGTGATCAGGGAGTGGCATAAGTGGAGATGGTCAGGAAGAACAGCAGATGATCGGAGCGATGTTATCTCGGTCGTGGAGCAAGTCTGAGCGCCGGAGTCGTCGAGATTGTGGGGAAAAGCCGATAGATGGCAATGAGACAGGATAACCAGTCGGGATCAAACTTACTGTCCTGCACCGCGTTCCAAAGGGCCGTGGTGTGTTCTTTGGAGAGGCTCATGATCTGTTTCGCGTTGCCGTTGCGGATGAAGTCGGCCTGGGTTGTGGGGGAATTAATATCCAGCGTCAGCGTTCAGCCCAACAGGGTCTCCCCTCCCTCTTTGCCCCGTCACGGAGCACTCGAGTACCAGTTTTTTGACATGAAGAAAAGAAAGAGAAGGAAGAAAAAGGACCGACTCACTTCCTTCACCCCGTTGAGAAACGTATCTCCTATGTCCCACTCGTAGCCGTCACCTACCTCCAACCTCCAAGGCAGCTGGGGCTGATACAAATCCACGAGCAGGCCCACGGTCAGGTTGCGGAGCTGTATCTCCTCGTGATGAAAACTGCTGCAAGGAATGCCAAAGTATGAGGAGAGCCTCGGCAGCAACTGGGCCAGGTAGCTGAACCGCGGAACAGCAGTGATGAAGGGGCTGCCGGGCTGTTGGAGGGCCTTGTGGGCGATGAAGAGCGGCACCCTCTGGCTCCATAGCGTCTGAGGGATGCTGTTTCTGAGCTCCTGAGGATTAGGGGAGGCTGCTGCATAGGTCGGTGAGGATGGTTGTAGAGATGGTGGTGAGGACATGGCGCCACGGGTTTGCCCGCGCAGCGCAGCGCAGCGCGGCCGATCGAGTTGACCAGGCGAGCACTCTTGTTGGCCTTGGGAAGTCCCAAGTCGTCGACGACGGACAGAGGTACAGGATCCGAACCTGGTGTCAGTCTTTCTCCCTCTGGAAGGTCAGTTTGGAGACTCCTCTGCCTTGACTTCTCAGGGGAGGACGAAGCTGAAGAGGGGTGTTGATGCTGCTCTATGGCCGAGATGTCTCAGCCCCGTCGAGCTCGTCTGGTTTTGTGATGCCCTGTTCGCAAGTCCCGGCCCTCGATATTTCTGGGTGGTCAACCATCGATCCCGTCTGACAAGCTGATGCTTTCTTTTGGAAGAGATCCTCAATGGTGGAGAGATCTGCCCATGACCCGGGGCTTGGGCCTGTCGTCAAAAACCGACGCAAACGCAAGAATACACACGGTGATGGCCTCACATGAGGTCGGGAAGGTGCGAGGGTGAGGGTTCGCACCTGGTCGCGATAAGCGATAAGTCTGATGGACGCCAAGCCGGGTTAAGCCTAGCATCAACGGCCCCACCCGACATCCGGTAGTGTGAGCAGCCTCCGTTCTATCTGGAACTTTCACTATACTCACATCTCACTTTCTCGAACGCCTCATCAACAGTCACGCGGTGGGCGGCGCACCCCTCCCCCCCTGCGATCTCCAGGAAGCTACATGGTTCCTCACAATCGTTCCTTTAATTGCATAAACACCAAGCATCTGTGAGCTTGTCATATAGCATGGCACTAATGTTCCTTGCAAGTACCTTGCATCTGCTACTTCTCTCGCCTCCGCAAATCCTTCCCAGCTCGGCTGTCAGAAACGTTACTCTCTTCATCCTGTCCCTTCTTTTCTTCTTTGCTTTTCTTTCTTTTTCTTCCTCCCCTTGTCTCTGATACGAACCAGAATTATCGTCCCACGGGAAACATAGGAATCAGTAAGACATGCATCGTCTCTACTTTCTCTTTTCTCTGTTCCCTCGTAATTTCTCACCCCAGTTTGCAAACGATCGGAGCGACCTGGTCAGGAACCCCTTTGCGAGGGCAATGTTACACGGCCAACTTGTCGACGTGTAAGCTGCAGGGGGGTGGGGGGGGTGTGTGGTAGAACAGCAGATGAGATGGTTAGATGAGTATCTGCGTGGTTCGGGAGACAAGGTCCGCGCTCTGTTGTACTGTACATTTCCCTCACTGCATGATTTCGATGGCGGGAATTGCTAGTGGGCAGGCCGCCACTGCCCCCCTCCTCTCCGTTTCGACACACCCAGTCACCGGTCCAACATACCCGCCCGCCCTTCCATGACCGGTGTTTGCTACTGATGAGACACACCAGCTCCCCTGCCTCCAGGCTCGAGAGGAGGAGGCACGTCAGGCGCAACCCCTATCACGTTATGTGTGTGTCGCAGGGGTGTGACTGCACGACGACTCTGGGGGGAAGCGGAAGAGGAGAAAAAGAAAAGTGAACAAGCAGAAGAAACAGGGCCTCTTATAGACTCGACCTTTTAGGAGATCAAATACCCAGGTCTTCTTCAATCAAACTCCGCGACGACGGCTTCCGCCAACGCCACGACCAGGTCCCGACAATACCCTCCGGCCGGACAGGCCCTTCTTGCATGTGAAGGATGCTATGCATGTCTCCATTTGTTCTAGCACGCGCAGCTTGGCCGCCTCGGTCAGAGCGCAATGCATACCGGTTCCCAATGAGCTGGGACTTAGCTCTTGCAGGAGCGGCATGCCTGCTTGCATCCGTGCCAAGTCATTCCGTCCCAGGGGAAGGGAAAGAAAACACACACGTCGAACCAACGTTTCTCGACCGTTTCCTCCCCCCACTCCTGGCCCCGGCCCTTGTCGACCGAGCACTGCTGGTGTGTGTGTGTGTGCTACAGAACACCTGTGGTAATCCAAATCCGTCGTAGAATGCAACCATTGTTTTGTACTTGCGTGCCGTGATGAGTTCTTCTCTTTCCTCATTGCTCACAACCTTTGGGTACACCACCACACCGTTGAAATTCCTTCAGCCCCCTTCCCAACTTCCCAACAGAAATGGGGCTGTCGGGTTGGACTCTGTTCGCGGCCTCAGGTGATCTCGTGTACAATCTTTTCCCACCACCCCTGATTTGCAACCCCCTGGTCAACTCACGGTCAAGAGGGGCGGGTCAGGTGGCCTGATCTGCAGCGATGTACTCAACTCACTTCCCGCCTTGCCGCTCCAAATGCAGGAGTAGTGGTATGAAAACCTTCAAACATCCACACAAACATAGTAGTACAGCATTATCCCCAATTGGAAGGTGTCTCTTCCAGACCGCTTTCCGAAGTACCCATCATCAATAAGAAAATAAAGAGGAAGAGAGAGAGAAGTAGAGTTTGTGTGGCTGGTTTGAGAGAGAAGGCGGAGGGGGCATGTAATTACATGGCGACATCTTGAAACTTGTAACAGTACCTACCTGTACATCCAGTGCCTACCCTTTTTTCTTTCTCCCCAATGCCCACTGCGGGTTCCCAACAGGGCACTTTTGCACAAGACCACTTGTGCCATGCATGCTCTTGCCTTGCCAGCAAAGTGACATGTTTTCTCAGTCAGTCAGTACCCAAAGAAGAGGAAGGGGGGGCAATGGTGGGGTTTGTTCATGAGCACAATGGCAGGAGTGGGTTCCTGACCCCGGGGCCCACCTCAGGGAAGGGGCAGCATGAAAGATGTACGCCCAATGATCAGTACCGTAGAAAGGAAAAAGTAAAACATGTTGGACTGTGGTGCACGCGCACAGTCAGGGTGCTGAATTGGGTAACCAGAGCGTGGATAATGTCACATCTCACTTTTGATGCATCTCTGGTTCCTTCCCTCTCTTCTTTCATTGATGTTACATAAGAGAATTCATGATAAATACAGAGACGGTCTGAAAGGAACAAGAAACAAAGGACAAATAGAAAATAAGAAACAAGAAGGAAAGTAGGTGAGGGAGGGAAGAAAAAGCAAGAGGGGGGGGGGGGGGCGGGTTTTCTTCTGGCTTTTCTTTTGTCATCATCATCGGCAGACTTGATGCATGTGTTTAATGAACATTCATAGTGATTGAACCTCGACAAGTGAGAAAATGGGAAACCAACCAACTAATTCATGCTAGCTCATCAAGACCTGAAAAGGAATGCGGTTGGGCTCACATGCATGTGCCAATCCAAGTTCAGGCTCATCTGTTTGCTGGGCAAGTGTTCACAGGGGAAAAGCAGGATGTGCCATGATGCATAAGCAACAAACAACAAGCGGAGTTTTTGAATGGCTCTCTCTTATCTAAAGTACTGCTATAGTACATAATAATAACAAAAATTAAGTTGAGATAACCTCAGGTATGCTGAAGAGCAAGATGATGTGTATCTACTGCTCTCTCCATAGTGTGCTGTTCTCCCGAATGACTTTGGAGCAGATGTCTTCATACATCTATATTTATGATGGTGGCCAGGTACCATTGGATGCCTCCACACCACCGAGGGCCTCACTCTAAAGCAATGATATCATGATCCATACAGATCTATGTGAGAGTACCAGCTGGAGAAAGTGCCGAGTATTTGGGGGACATGGTCAGTCTGAGGCACTGCAGTTCCCACAATGCCCTTTTCACTTACGCGATGCACAGCAGACAACCCTCTGAAGGGGAGACAGGGTGAAGGGGGGGGCCAGTAGTGGAAAGATTGCAGGCCTTCTTCAATCTCCACCAAATTGATGGCCACGGGGCAGGTGGAAGATGCAAGGACTTGGTCGAATGGATCCTGTGCTCAAAGCACGTGATACGACCGCCCAGAACATCCAGGACATCTTGACCAAGATTAGGAGAATCTACAATACAGGACAGCATTACAAATGAAAAGAGAACCCCAAGATATGCTTTCTTCTTCCCACTCTTATCTGTTCATTAAGTCGTCAGTGTCATCAATCATGATTAGGAACGGTACCTCCAGTCCAGGACTGTTCCATCTGTCGCGTGGAGCTGGCAGGTTCCGCAAAACGTCCTCCTCCAATAACAAGTTGTCATCAAGTCACCCCTGGATTCAGTGGATGCTGGACCATCCAGATCAAGCCACAATCTTGCCGTTGAGGTACACAGCCTTATAGAACCTCTCACTCCACTCCTTCAGGAAATCGGCGCTCTCCAGGGCGGTCACCTCGAATAGGAACTGCTCCGGGTCAACATCCCCACTCATGATATAATAGCCAAACGCGCTCACACTGGAGAAGATGGCGGCGTCATACAGAGGAGGGATGTGGCCCCTGCTCATGAAGAAGTCCTTGTCGGACCGGGGAGGATGGTAAGTACCGCAATGGGTACAGCTCCTGGCGGGATCCCATGTGAGCTCACGCATCGTCACGACCTCGGCACAGGCTTCGAAGGGAAGTTTCTCGGTGAGGCGGAAGGCAGGCAGACACCAGGGGCCCTCTTCGCAGTCACACATCTCCTGGAAGGCGCCTGTCTCGAGGATCTGTCTAGGTGTGGAGCCTATGATGAAGATGTCTTTCTTGACGTCGAGATAGATGCCGCCCTGAACGGATGGATGCCTCTGGTCAGTCCGCGTCCTTGTCATGTCATGGCTCGACAGATGCTTCGAATACGGCGTGATGTGTATGTGTATGAGCATGAGAAGTGGAGAGAAAGAGACAAGATAAGTGTCAGAAATTACCCTAGGTTTGCCCCTTTCGGCCTCGCGGTCAATCTGCTGGGCGATGGCCGGAACATAACGCAGACAGCCATCACCATCGTACCAGTCGGTCTCGTTGCCATACTGTCCAACGTCCGGGTAGCCCAAGTCCAGTACGGACAGCCTGACGTAAGTTTCGAGGGCAGCTTCGCGAAACTCCATGTTGACGAAAAGAAGGGGCGAGGGATTGTCCCCAAGGTCCACCGTCGGGGAGATACGCCGCGTGGTGGGGTCGAGCAGCACCACTCGGGTTGGACGGTGCTTGCGGTCCTCGTCGAGCGCCGCGCCGATGATGAGCAGGCGGAGCTCGGCCGATAGCTCTGTGAATTTGTGAAAGACGGGAGATTTTTTCTTGGCAACGGCCTTGCTGCACATCTCGCTCTTGCCCTGCATCTTGGTCATCCTAGGCACTGGCTGTTATGCTGGTGTTGATATGTGCGTGTGGTTCGAGGATGGCAATCTCTTTGTCAGTCGGTTGATGTGGTGTCGGAATGAGAGGCTGGCTCGCAGTTGCAATGGTGGTGGTGCAGCAGGTGCGGGGGGGGGGGGGGCGAATGAACACCTGCAGATCAAGATGCAGGGCCGACACCGACATACACACGGCGGGGCGGGATTCCCAGCCTTGGTCTAATGGGTAGACAAGAGTGAAAAGAATGGAGCGGAGAGATGTTGGCTAAAAGATTGGGAAAGGAAGTGTGGGAGGGCGGGCAGAATGGACGATTTCGAAAGGTGAAAGTCGACAATTGGAAAGAGGGGAGGAGAAGATATGTTGGCCGGCTGCTGTTGCTTGCTGAGGTAATGAGGGCAGGTACCTCCTAACAAAAACATTGGCGCCTCGATTGTGAAGCCAGCAGTTGTACACCCAAAATAAGATGACGCAGCTCTCATCCAAGGCAAGTCAAGTCCGCTTCGCAACTCGGCTCTATTTGGAGAGATTCGCCTCAGACTAGGGTGCTCGTCACGAGAGTAAATAGAGTCGTATGGTGGATTGACTCGTATCAAATTACTGCGAGGGCCTGGGGCGGGTAGGGGGGGGGGGGTGGGTAGTACGTGCAAAGTGGCAAAAGACAATTGAATGTACTGAGGAATGAGAGACATTATGACGTGCAGTAGATGTCTGCCGGATTGTATTGCTGCGAAGAGAGTCTGGGGTCGGACTCGAAACTCCTGTACGCACTCGCCAATTTGTGTCTCTATATGCGAGGCTCGAAGATGGTGAAGTCTTATTTTCCTCATCCTGCAAAGTCTCAACCGCACTGACTGATCTGACAACGGTCCTAGTTCATGGAAGTAACCGCTGCTACCTTTCTAGCAAAAATCCAAGCGTGACTCTTTGGCCTCATTTAAAACCGCGCCCACGATTCCGCTTGCTAAAGCTACTAAACCCGCCACGGCCCCGATTGTTACCTCCTCCACCCCCACGAGAACCACCTTGCTGAGACCCTCCGGCAGCTTGAGACCGAAGCTCGCCCTGGCCCGCCTTGGGGACCTTTCTCCCATTCCGCAGAGGGTAGTCCTTACCTCCCTGCCGCAGAGGAGGAGGGATGGGGCGAGAATCATCAGGCCAGGGGTTCCGGTCGCGTCGAGGATAGCGGTTGTTTGTGTTTTGCTGGGGCTGCTGCCGCTTCTTGGGATTCGACGGGCCTGCTGCAGATATTGCTGGGGGGCCACCAAAGCTGATGTTGGACGCGATTTGGATCTTGCCCATGGGCTTCTGAGCGGGCCTAGCCGCGGTACCTCGTACAAGAGCATCCGCGTGATCCTCGTCATCACTCTCTTCGAAGAAAATATGTGACTGTGGCTTGATGCTGCGACCGGGAATCACGGGCGCCGAGATGGTTGGTGGAGGAGGGAGGGGGTTCCTGTACGCGAGAGCTTCCTCGTTGCTTGCGGGGTCGATGTACAGAGAGGCGACCGAATAAGTCCAGATCTTGGTGGGAGGGACACTGAGGTCTGCAAGGCCACAATCTCCACCATAGTGGCCCTCTTCCCCGCAGCAGTAACAGAAAATAGGCAGCGACTTGACCTTTTTGACCTTGCCTGGCTGGGGCCGGTAGACCTGCCAGAGGCTGGTGCAGTTCTGCTCCGAATGGTCATGGCCCTCGCAGACGGCGCACTCCATTGTGACTTCGCCTGGGGCTGCCGCAAGCTTCTCTGAGCACTTTGCTTTGGTATGCCCAAGCTTTCTGCACTTGCTACACCGTTGGCGTGTTGGGCACTCGTAATTGAAGTGTGGACCGGAACAGAACTTGCATTTGGCCTCGGGGCAGCTTGTTGTGGAATGGCCGGCCTGGGCGCAGGTGAGGCAGAAGACCGCGTTGTCTGGAACTTCAGGGTAGTAATGGTGTCGCTGGTCGAGTTCGGCTTGAGGGACTGATATCTCCTCTGGGGCAGTAGCGGCGGCGTCCATCTCGACATCACTGGCTTGGTCTTCGTCAACCTCGCCATCCTCCTTCTCGACCGTGGTGTCTTGTGTCTGCTGAGCAGCAGCGTGATCGCTTGAAACTACTTCAGATCCATTGTTGGCATCGTTGGGTTGGACTGGATTGTCCGAAGTGACATTGGGCTGTTGTTGCCGTTTGGTCTCTTTCGCTTTGGCTTCCTTAGCCTGCTTTTTGGCCAGGTTCTTGGCCATCTTTTTTGGGTCAGGTTTGAAGTCACCTGCAAAGTCTCGCAAGCGGCTGGTTTCGGGGTCCTTCAGATGCTTCTTTGCAGTGGTGTGCATGAGCTGAGGCATGTCAGGTGTGATATCGCCCTCCAGCCGCCTCATAAATGCCTTCTTCAAGAAACTCGGTGCGAGGCCGACCTTTTCTATATTTTCCTGGTTCTGGGCCACAAACGCCTCACACCACTTGTCTAGGATGGATTCAAATATTTCCAACCAGGTAGTGCCCACGACATATTCAGACTTGATAGGATTCACAGTCCACAGCAGGTCTCGTTTGTTGACAGGCGCAACGGTCTCTGCCTCACCGGCTTGGATAGCCTGCACAAGCCCGTCGCGCTGATGTGGCGTTAAGGGATTGTATATCAACAAGTCGGGATTGCCACCTTGCTGCTCTGAGCCTTGAGCACCTGTACCGAAAGAAGTACGCAGCCCGGGTACCCCAGAAGTTGGCCGGGTTGGTTGTGAGCGTGCGTCGGGGGATCTGGAGCCTTGACCATCGCTTGGACTCGAAGTCGATCTCTTCTCAGTTCTTGGTGAACTGATCTCTCCCTCATCGACGCTCGTCGGTGTATGGCCATCTGCACTGCTGAGCGAGGAACCCTTCCTAGCTTTCTTGCGAGGAGGCAGGTCCTCTTCAGCCTGTTCTTCTTGTCCTTGGTCCTGCACTGCGTCGACTATTGGGCGCTTGCCCGTCGCTGCTGGCGATGTCTCCCCTCTCGCAACAGGCTTTACAGCCTCTCCAGCACCCTCTGGCAGTGTTCCGTCGCCTGGGGTCAAAACATCATTGGCGGCCGTCATCTCCGCCCCTCCGTCGACTGTCACCTCTGCGTCGGCCATTCTCATCAATCAAGGCGGGGCGTTGTCTCTGGCGGCTCTCCTTGAATGTGGTCTGGTTTATGTGGCCTTCGCATCGGCTCCGCTGGTTTCGTGGCCCCCCCTCTGAAGCTTTTCCCGCCTCGGCCCCACTGGTCTGTAATTAGATTGGGGCCCCTATCTTGGACAATACGAGTCTTGACAAGTCGCAGATATGCCCCTCAATATTCCATGCCTGGGGTAGGTCGAGGTGAAATGAGATGTGCACACTGGTGTGTGGTAAATGGTAGACACTGATGATATTGACACAAAATGAGAGGACTGTGGCCTGAGGTGGGACGAGACCCTTGGACAATTCACCAGAGTGGTTAAGCGGGTTGGCGGGGTGTGGTGATTCCAGCCTAGTGAAGAGGTAAAATCCTTGGACAAAGACCTATGCCGCGTGATAGATCGTACAGCTGGTTTCTTAAGTCATAAAGGAAGTTATGGAGACCAGAGGGCGAAGCAGCTGGAGGTGGTCGTCTTGGCGGGAGAGATATGCAATGCAGAGATGGGCCTCTTGATGAAGTTTTTGAGAAACGCGTCGTTGCCAAAAAGTTGTTACCAGTCTGATCAGCTATCCCATTTTCGAGGTGGACCCTGCACCTTTGGGGACATGGAGGTGGCGATAGCACTAAGGCATGGAGCTACCTGTTATTGGCATACAAATTACATGAATGGGTCAGGTAACAGTGGAGACGTCACATAACAGATGAGCTACAGAGGAGTCCGCGGACCAAAGAGGGCCCAGGGATATGGATTAGCGGTTCAGTGTTGCAGCAGAGGTGCAGGTGGCAGGCTGGAGCTGGAGGTGCAGTGCATCGGGACAGGCGAGCCGCTCCAAGGTTCGGAAGTCTAGACACTTTGGACACGCAGGGCCCTTGTCTTTCTTCAACATCCAAACATCATATCTCCACGTCACTGTTTTCAAAGACAGTCACGAGGTTCCTTCAACTGATCAGTTCCTGCCTCTGATCCTTTGTTGGCCTGGCTTGACTCTGTACAGCCAAAACACCATTCCCTTAATTGTCCATTGCTACTGTGTGAGTTGTTTTTGGCCTTCTTCCTTCTTCTGACAATGGCGGTGACATGAACACAACAACCATCCCCCCCTCCTCCCTCTTTGCAAAGCATAGCCAGCCGGGTCCTGTCTGACCTTCTCCCCTGACCTGACCAGCACACCGTGCCCACATTGGACCCAGGGCCTGTGTGGCTCACAGAGATCTGGCGATGTGCAGCACGGGCTGAATCCGGTCTGGGACGAGGACCCAATAAACCAAGGCATATCTGGATCCTGTCCCCCCAATGAGCAAGACATACACACCCACATCCTCTCTTCTTTGAGACAACATCAACCCTTCCCCTGCTTGTGATCTATCCAGCTCATTTGGTTATGCCAGAGAATGTCTGTCGGCTGACCTAGACTGCTCGCTCTTCTAGCCATCTTTTCTGAATCGATACTGTTTTATCTCTTTCACCAACCCGAACGAACCCCTTCGCGACAGACCAGTGCAACAGCTCGACGGGACAACTCCAAACCCGAACGTACCTAGCTCAGCACAAGAAAGACCGACTTGAGTCTCAGCATCCCGATCGAGTATTGCCACGCTGCCACACCTTCCCTCCCCCTCACCTCCCGCCCGTCCGCCCGGCCGGACGACCAACAGCCCTTCCCAGCGATTCACGACAACACCGTCAAGCTGTCTTCCCCAATCCTCCTCCAGCGTACCGTCTCCTACGACGCGGGCACCAACAATCCGCGTCGAGGAAGTGTGTACAAAATGGCGGAAGAACAGAATTCGGCCCGTAGGAGGAGGTCCAGTTCGATCCTCCAGGTGTATCACGAGCCTCTCGAGCCTGTCGAGCAGCTCAGCGATCGCGCTGCTTTGCCCAATGGCAACGCAAACTGGGTGAATGCAAAAGGTGAGGAAGACTTTTGAAGAAAAGAAGGAGAGAAAAAAAACCCCCCAGCAGCCTTGAAGAAGAGGTGTGGGGCAGGGGGAGGAAGATCTCCCTTGGGGTCGTCGAATACAACTTGCCACGAGGCGCACCTTCTTTTCCATGAAGACGGGAGCTAATTGTCAAAACATTTATAGGGGCGTGGACGATTCACTTCCTCCTGATCATGTGCCTGAAGATCTTCTACGATATCATCCCCGGCGTGTCACAGGAGACCTCCTGGACGCTGACGAATATTTCGTACATGGCCGGATCCTACCTTATGTTCCACTACGTCCGAGGCATACCATTTGAGTTCAATGCAGGGGCCTACGACAACTTGAACATGTGGGAGCAGATCGACGATGGCGCGCAGTACACCCCGGCCAAGAAGTTTCTGCTGAGCGTACCGATTGTGCTTTTCCTCCTCAGCACGCACTATACCCACTACGACCTGGCTTACTTTACCATCAACTTCCTGGCGGTGCTGGCAGTTGTGATTCCCAAACTACCTTTCGTGAGTATCTTGCATGCAAATGAACGCGAAGCTGAGCAGAATAGATGAATGCAAGAGACTGACAGCGCATTTTACAGAGTCACCGAATGCGGTTTGGGATCTTCTCCGGCGTACCGGACGAGGAATAGGACTTGGTTCCCGCGGTCAAGATCGGGCGTTTGGCTTTGCGATTTCTTTGGAGATTGGAGTTGCTTGGAGTTGTGACAAAAAGCGCAGCCTGCTGAACACGAGGGGTTTCTATACCAGCTTCGAATCGAGACTAGGAAGAAGGTCTTCTGCCAAGTTCAGGACAGTGTCGTGCAAACGATACGAATCCCTTTCAGGCCGAGGCTTCACGCCGACTTTTCGTTTCTGGCTCACCCATACTTGTCTCTGATGCTATGCAGTTTGTGTTGCTGACCTGGACGGCTCGTGTCTCAAGGGTTCAAGCTACACGGGGCACCTGGCTGGTGGTGAAAAGTGGTTTCTTGCTTGTTGGGGCGGGGGGCTATCAATCTGATGGATGCGCAGGGCGAGGCGTCGGATCATAAAACTGACAGGGTCAGGCAGGTTCAACTTCAACCATGGAATACAAGATGCAATATTTCTACCTGTGTCCTACAACTCACTGTTGCCCTTAGCATGCACCGTTGTCAACCCCTAGACTCACCTGGTCCTGAACTCAGCAGCGTATTGATAAAGCCGTTGTCAATACTATCAATCAAGGCCTGTTTAACTGGACTAGACGACCATTGTCGACTTATCATCATCTATCATCTATCGCATACGTAGGTTGATTGGTACTGGGTGGTTGTAAGTTCCATAGGCGCAGTTCTTAGGGAGAACCTCTCGGCATGGGTTCAGGTTCAACGCACCGTTTCGCCAAGCTCGCAACCTTCTCACCCCCCGAGGTTGTGCTTTGCTTCTGCTGTAACGATATAGTTCTCGTAATGGCAGCCATAGCTCCTCGACCACGCAGACACAACGTGCCCTGGCCCTGCCATCCGAGCCAAGAACGGCTGTGACGGAAGGGGGGGCCCACATCGGAGAAGCGTCGGACGGGAAGCACCATGCCCGACGTCATTCCCTCACCCTTGTTTCCTTACCTTTTATAGCCGGCCTCGGTGATGGTCAAGGGTAGTCTAGGAGGACTGGCTTGGTGAGTTGTCAGAAGGCGCAGTCTCCCTCGCTCTCGCCCTGTGTGTATGTGGGTAAGTAAAGTCTGTCTGAACGCAGAGGTGACCCCTTTCCGTTGAGATCACACTTTCTACATTCAGCTTCCTCGATGATCCCTCGGAGGTCCGCGGTCGCTACGGGACATCTTACTGCGAAGTGGTGGTGTGCGGCGATAACGAGCTCGCTTAGACCTGGGCGCACATCCATCATCAACATCAACGCGTTGACAGCCAGGAGCTCCTCCTCCTCCTCCGCCTCGTCGTCATCATCTTCGACCTTTTCCTACATTACCTGCTCGAGCACCCGCCCGTCTTCCCTCCTCGTCCGCCCATCTTCTCACACACAACTATTTTACCACCAACACCAACACCAACAGCAGAGAAACTTCAGCGTCACGGCAGCCGCCAAGATGCAGGAGAACGTGCCCAAGCTGTACCCCAACCCGGAGACGGGGGCCAAGGTGACGGACTACTCCGTTGCGCACTCGACGCCGCTGCCAGAATGGCTCGCGAGATATCACCAGTGGGGCTGTGAGGAGACCAAGGTCCCTAATTTCTTGATCTCGACGTATCAGGCGCAGATGTTGATCTTTCTGGCGAGGATTGTGGGTGCCAAGAAGGGTGAGGTTTATATGTGTATAAATATATGCATATGTCCCTTCTACTATCTTTCCTACCCCCCTTCCCTGCTCCCTCCTTCTCTCCTCCGTGTCGAGACGAAGATGATCCGGCTAACACGACGAGCGGGAAACAAGTGCTCGAGATCGGCGTCTACATCGGTTTCTCCGGCATGGTTTGGTCGCACGCTGTAGGGAAACAAGGCACCGTCGTTGGGCTGGAGCTCAGCGAGGAATACGCGGCCCTCGCGCGCAAAGGGTTCGCGGACAACGGCGTCGACAACGTGCAGGTCAAGACGGGCGATGCCGTCGCATCTCTCGAGACTCTTGCGCCCGCCGAGCCCTTCGACCTGATCTTTGTCGACGCCAACAAGGACGCCTACCCGCGGTACCTGGACATCATCCTTGCCCGGTCGCAGCCGGGCCAGCCTGATCGCCTGCTCCGACCGGGCGGGCTGATTGTGGCGGACAACGTGCTGCGTCGGGGGATCGTGGCGGATGCGAGCAGCACGAACCCGCATTATGCGACGGATGTGGAGAAGCACGGAGAGGCACAGAGCGTAACCTTTATGAAGGCGCTGCATGAGTTTAACGAGAAGCTGGCCGCGGAGCCTAGGCTGGAGTCGTTCCTTATGCCTCTCTTTGATGGGCTGGGGATGGCAAGGTTGAGGGATTAGTGGTTTCTTTTGTCTGGCCGTGGTGTTGAGAACGAGCTAGGTTATGTTATAGAGGCGAACGTGGTGGATGATGATGATGATGATGATGAACTGCCAATTGTCTACCTTGTTACACTCTACAGCCTCTCTGACTCAATACACAGGTTGATTCCCTTCCCTTTATATATATTCTATGCTTATCTCGTCAGGCCCATTTCTCCTCCTTCTCCTACGTACTCCTTCAACCGAGCTCTTCCCACCGCCTACCTCTAATGCCTTGACTGCACAGGCCTAATTATCAATGAAATCCGGCAAGGACCGTCTTTTGTACGGCCCTGCAGCCATAATAATCTTCTTCGTCTCCAGAGTGATCTCGAGTGCATTCCCTCGCTCCTATTCCGGGCTTCATAAGCAGCGACCGCCCCGATCCTGATGCGCGAGCCTTCAGTATTCCAAGTAGCAGTCACGGCGTCGCTGTTGTTCTTGAGGAGAAGGAGGGGAACGGCAGGGGTAAGACGACCTCCAGCCTGACAGGCGGCTCCTCATAACACAGGCAAGATGCGCACGTGCCATCGGGGTGGTGGTGGTGGTGGTGGTGATGGTGTCGCCGTCGAGAGGCCATGGCGACGCGAGGCCTTATCGCGACCATGACGTGACACGCGTCAGGGGTGGGGCTGCCGACGAGAGAGGGAGACGGTTTTGCAGTCGGAGAGGCGTTATCGAGGAAGCTGCACAGCGCGTCGTCGAATCTCTTTTCCTCCTCCACAACGGCGTCGAAGCTCACGCCCAGAGAGCTGGGCGAGAGTGGCTCCTGCAGCAACTGCGGCGCCGGCGGCAGCGGTCGGGGGAGGAGGATGCGGCCGAGGTGGTGCTGGGACTGGTTTGAGTCGGGGCTGCTGTCTTGTACGCTCAGGCGGGGTGTGAGGATCGCGGGACCTTGTCGATGGGTGGGATGGTTGTGGAGGGGACCGCCGCCTTGTTTTGTGGTCGCCTCGTGGTGCTCTGGCGGTTTTTGGTGCTGCAGCTGAAGTCTTGTGGATGATAATGATGCTATTCTCTAATCGTGTGGCTGGGCTTTTCCCCAGCGATCTCAACTGCGAGGGTTTGATCTGTCCGAGGAGGTCTTGTAGGCGGGTGTATCTTTCTTCTTCTGGTGGGCATGCACCGTTCATATCATCTCATCCTCGGTATTATCTTGCTGGGAGTTTGGAACGGAGAAGCTGGCCATTGCACTATGTCACTACTTTAGTTAGGGCTCGGACAGGATAGGTAATAAGTAGGTTTACAAGCAAGTCTTGTGATGGACCAGTAACTCGGAATGTTCAAAGTTTACGCTGTCATCGTCCTTTTCGGCGCACAGCAAGGAGCTTCTCAAAACATTGCTGCATGGCCTTGCCCATCAGTTCCTGCTCTTCCGGTGCCAATTGGCAGGACAAGAAAACCAGCATGGATAGATTACAGTGTTGCTATATATATTGTGTTAGCCCTTGTTGTGAGAGCTCTGGTGCTGTATATTCCTCTCGAAACCATGGTGGTGGGATACTATGTCATTCAGTGGTCGTAGGCCTGCCGCCTAGTTGAGCTCGAGTCCCAGTCTTAGTCCCAGCCTCTTCGTCCTGGATTGAATCTATAAGAACTGGAATCCCTCATTTAGAAAGGTCCCGTTTCATGGGCGGTAATCTTGAGAAGCTCCAAATTTACTGGTAAGGGGTTGAGATATTGAGAAAGGCCCTTGCTTCTAGGCTCTTTCTGTCCACAGATGATTCTAGCACCATCTGATGTGAGGACACACAAGCAGGGGCCAGGACCCCCCCCCCCCTCCTTCTTTTCTTTTCTTTTCTCTTTCTCTTCCGTCTTTTTCTTCTTCTTGCATGCTCCGCTTGATCTCAAGCTGGCAGGCGGACGACCACAATCACGGCGCGACTTCACACTTCGTCTTGTCTCGAGCGCCGTGGCCAAGCCAGGGCCAGCTCAGTCCGGAGCCTCCCAGTCGCAAACTACAGCAAAGTGGCCGAGGTGGCTGAGGTTGATGTCCCACATTGGCTGGTACATGGACACCATGCCGCCGGTTCGTACGAAGTTTCTTCTGCCCAGCGCAGATATGCGCCCGTCACCGGCTAGTATCACCTTTGCAGAATTTCCATCGTCCCGCGCAGATGATTTCTCGACCTCGTGAGCCCCGACAATCCACATGCCACTGCCGTCCCTCACCTCGTCAACCTTCATCTGGACACTTGCACCAGCTGGCCTGTCATACTCGGACGCCCCTTTTACCTGCACAAGCCAGTCGCGTACTTCCGCGGCCAGGCCGCCAGGGACGTACTTCGCACCTCGCCGCTGGGGAGAGAATGCATCGGGGAGGGGAGGACGATCTGCTGTGGTTTCTGTAGCTGCGTCTGTAGCTCTAAATCGCGGCGCAGCTCGGAAATTTGGGGGGTGACGGGCTGCAGGCTCGCTCGGCGAAGCTGGCTCCGAGTCCGTCATGGGGTGCTCCTGGTCTGTTGGGGGCTGTGACGGGCTCTTCTCGTGCTCATCTGCAGAAGGGGTGTGCGCCACCTCTGTAAGCCCGTCGTCCAAAGCCATTAGCTCATCTGAAATGACGCTGAAGACGAGGCTATCACCATCATGGGCAGGGTTGGAGTCCAGGTCGGGTGAGATGGACACCCGTCGGCGCTTTGGTGGCCGCTCAGCACCCTCCCCAGATAGTGACTTTGATGCCGAGGGGGAGTCAATCTCGATGGACTCATTGAGCGAGTGCTGGCTCAGAGCTTCTTCTTCATCTTCCCGAAACCCTGGTGAGATGGGCGATGTGTCGATAGCGTCGCTCTCGAACTGGGTTGCTCTGGGCCTGGCCGTTGCAGGCGCAGGAGTCGAGAAGAGGGGCAGCAGCTGCTGCTGGTGGCGAGTCTTCTGCCCGGGAGTTTCCGAGACATTGAACCGCGGGGTCGAGGCGAACTGGTGAGAGCCGCTCTGGCGTGTTGTCGGGGTTTGTTTCTGTGCTGATGGTGGTGGTGCCTGGCGTTTGGAGAGTAGAAAGGGTGGCTGTGCTGGGGTCTTGGGGATGAAGACTTAGCATGATGGGCTGGCATGATAAATGAAGTTTCATGACATCTTACCGATGGAGGAGCCATATTTGCTGTCCCTCGATTTCTTCAGGCTTCACGACAGGGCGCCAAGATGGGACGGGATTCCAGTGCTGGCTAAGCCCCATTCATTCACCTTACAAGTAGCATCACTGAGAGGACCACATGTACCTCTTGATCGAGCCAGCCCGAGGGCATCACATGGGTGGAGGAGATACCGCTGCCGTAATCACCACAAGCATCAGCGCAGACCTGGTGGCAAGGCCAGGCACGTCAGATCTTGTTCCTGAAGGGTACGAAAGATTTGAATGGGGAAGTCACGACGTGAGGTCGAGATCGCGTAGTTGTGCTTAGTCATCATTTCACACAAAGCAACCCAGCTCAGTAGCTCTTGCCATCTTCATCTCACCACTATTGCACTGTCTCTCTGTTCCCGATTTTGCGTTTGTCACTTGAGCAATGGACCACAAGTAAGCCACTCAGACAATGGTGAGGGCGAGGAATCCCCCCAGACTCGGCTCATCAGAACCTGGGTGAGAACTGTTGTCACTGTTACAATCCGTATCGTCTTACATTGATGACCAGCATGACCAAAGATCCTCAGCTGAGCAGTCTCGCTGCCTGTCTGCTCTGGACAACAAGAAGACTATGGATGCTTGATGCACCGTTGAGATTCCATGATCCATGATATCATCTCGTGGTCACCGCCTTGTGGGGTCCACGTGAACTCGCTCACCTGCCCAGGGTTTTCTTCTCCTGATAGACGCCCTCAATTCTGTTGCAGCATGCCTGTGATATCAGATATCAATGCAACCTCACGCAGACGTGGTAGGGGTATTCAGAAAGGGGAAGACGGGTGCAGATCAGCTTGCCCAACAGAAACCCTATCGAGGACGCTTTCGGGTACCAGTTCGCCAACGATTAACCACAAATTCCAACTAGAGAGAGAGAGGAAACGCAGGACCAAGACCCTCGGTGATCTCCTCAAGGGATCTTGATAAATGATATTAGGTTTCTGAAACCTACCTAGCCAGGAAGGGCGTGGGTACGCATCCGAGATGGCAAGCCTCGCTCGCACTCGTCTGGGACTTGCCAGAAGGATTCTGGTCGAGATGGGCTGACACACAAGACGGCTCAACGTTCTGCTCTGCACAGCGACAGCCGTTCAGCATGGCTCAGAATCCTTTTAAAACGCCCACCGGAAACTACGGAGCTTTGTGGAGTGTGGGGGCCGAGATCTACCCGCCGCCCTTCGTCGCCCGCGGGTCGGCCGAGGGAAGAGACGTCAAGTCAGCTCACCCTTTAATGAGCCTTCTGTCTTCCGGCTGGTAGATACGAGCCTCATTGGGAAGGTCATGGACACGAGAGAGAGAGAAAGATGGACCGTGAGACGGACCGAGGCTGACAATGCGAGATATGACATCTCTGAGATCTTTCGTTGATGCCTCCTGCACTAACAACTCATCTCGTGCTCAGCTCACCTTTGTCTGGGAGCGATGTATCATCGAGGAGAAGGGTGAAATGAGAGGGTGGTCAATCGAATCCCTAGGTGCTCGAATAGGTCGGGTCGTATCATCACCCTCCTTGAGGTCAATCGGTTGTAGGACGTGGCGAAGCCTTGCGTGCCGCCCTCACAAGAACAAGTTTTCCTTCTTGGAGGAAGAGAAAAAGGGAGAAAAATCAAGAAAGAGGCGTCTAAGCGAGGAGGCGAGGACACCACTCTGCATTCTTGTACAGCAGTATGTGCCGTCCCCTTTCGCTCTTGCGGCAACATTAGACGAGGGGAATTATCTTGAGAGGGTGCTCAGAACCCTTGATGGTGGTCACATCTCGGATCTGGGCGACAAACGTGACAGGTGCCCCTCTGACAGCCCGACCAATCCACGAGAACACCGGTAAGTTTGTCTCAACAATTTGCAGAATGATAGAGGATGAGGGGGTAAGAACGGACCTGTCATCGTGCCATCATAACCCCTTCCCCCCCTTGTGAGTGTCCCGGGCTGCAACCACCAAGGAAGCAACGTTGACGTGTCCCGTCACATGTGGTCTCACTTACCGATATTTCCTCCGCCCCAGCATGTCTCATTACTGTCCGTTGGATGCTCCCAGCAGGTACCCATGTTTGGTCGGCGGATACATGGCAGCGGTATCCAAGACTGCGGGGTCCTTGGACGATCGCTATTCCGCCCTTCTGTGCCACGGCCATCGTCGAGGAACACGATCCTCCCTCCAGCACAACAACGGAAACAAATCTCACGCCATCACCACCATCACCGCATTATTGAATCATCGTCAGCGTGATTTATGACAGCCATGTAGTGCGCTGCAAAGCAGCAGGTTGAGATCGACTCATCTGACGCGAGATCACAACCGACCATTGAATCTCGATAAAGAATTGAAAGGCCAGCGACTGGTCCTCCCAAGTCTGAAAAGTGGATCGGACGGAGCCTGTCAGTCATCACGTTGTCAGGTTCTATGTATATGCGTGTATCACAGACTCGATGGTCATGTGGAGAAGGAGGAGGGGTGCTTTGCTCAAAGGCAAAAACAGACGGACTCCGCGAAAACGAAACCTCAACTGCGGCCGGGTGAAGTCCCCATCAGTACATACAACATACTATGGGAGAGACGTCGGGAAACTTGGGGGCGGGCACTCACTCTGGTGTCAGCGCTACGCAGCGGTCACAAACATTACTTGAGAAGTGAGTGGGGCCGTGTGCAAATGTGAAAATTTTCCCAAAGCCCGTTCGTGTGGTGAGATGTGATATATCACAAAACGGCTGAGAAGGGCGCAAGCCCGGCCGTTTTCGGCTTTGGTTCCGAATGCTGGGGTTTGGACCAAATATGATCTGATCGAGGCGACTACACCAAGGGGCCCTCCATCCTGTCAGATCGCAGACGAAGAGCCGATCTTTGCTGCATGGAGACATGTGAAGGCCAGGGTGGTTGGGGTGTGGTGTGTGTGTGGAAAAGCCGGGCGAGTTGCCTCTTCTCGGAAGTCATTGACGAGCTAAGCCCGTCTTTTGAACACCCAGCAGCTCGGGGTTTGAAATCGAGCCCGCTCTGTCCACTGTGGGTATCGTCATCCACAGCACACAAAATAGATAACTACGCCGCTCGTCTCACCGGTCGACGGGTTCGTCTGAGCACGGTGTGCACCGCAACTCCTCCTCGGCGATATCTCCCCGACGCTCTTTTCCCACCCTTTCTACTTTCCAGTACCACATACAGCTCTCAAGGAAGATCATATGGTGTGCAACCCCTGAGGTTAAGTGAATGATGGCGGAAATTGTTCCGCAGCAGAAGCTGGTGCGGCTGGAGGGAAGGGAAAGAACCACTTCTCGGGACTGATAATCCTGCTGCCGTCGCACAAGCTGGGTCGTCATCCTGCAGACATTTCGGGATCTCAGAAGACTTTTGGTGAGAGGGGAGAGGGGGGTAGAGAGAAAGGGGGTCCCGGGGGGTCGGGGAGGGTGGTGGGTGAACGACTGGTGAGGCAGCCATGGGGCGGATGCCCACCGAACAGGACAGGACAGGGTAGTGTAACGAGGGGATAAAACGGGCGACCTGCCTGTCAACCCACCGAAGGGCAGATGCAAGTGTGAGATCCATTATGGCCTCCCCTATATACCACCTGGCATATGGAACCCCAAGGCCCAATCTTATCGGCCAGGACTGGTGGTGTCCCCCGGAGATATATTACACAAGCGGCCACCACCTATCTGCAAGATGTGAGACGATACGTCCGTGGGGTCGCATTCTGTAACCGACAACGGTGTGCACCAAAGTTTTTGGGTATCGGATCATTTGGCCAGTCGTCAGATCTCAAGAGAAACCTTTTTTGAAGAAAAAAGAAAAAGGGTTGGTTCACTTGGCGGAGACGCGTCCTATGAATCACAACGCCGGATATTGCGTAAATAGGGCACGCCATCGAGGGAGCACACACACAGAGGAGATGTTCTCTGTGTCTCCTCGATGACAATCATTCACTGCATGGTGTAGGCAGCCGTCCCACTCCCAAAGGGAGCATGTGCTGAGCCAGACCAGGCTCCGACTGGCGGCAACACCCTCAAGTGCACTCGTTGTGTTACTCGCCGCATGTATAAATGGTGATGCCATCATTCAGCCTATTTCTCCTACATTTATGTCCCTGATAGGCTGGGGGCGAGCTCACACCTAAAACACACAGAGAGATAGAGACGGAGAGGTGAAGAGACCCAGCCATGGCACCGATACAGGGAAAAAACCCTCGACGCCCCTGCAGCGACCATATGTCATTCTCGCACCGAGCGGGAGCCTGCTTTCAGAAGCGATATTACCGTCTTGTGAGGGGACCCACAAATCAGGCCACATACTATACACGAGGTCATAGACGCCGATGACAAGTCATAAAGATCGTCTCTTGTTCGGCAAGGGGCCCTGCTCTTTCTCGAACAAGTCCCTTGTTGGTTTGTTCTGACAGCTCCACGGATCACCTCGCGCCCTTAAATCGGCAATGGATAGAGAGGGAGGACGAGAGAGAGAGAGAGTGTGTGTGTATTTGTATATGTGAGAGAGAGGGAAAGAGGGAAGGGGGAGAGACAGAGGGAGAGGGAGAAGAACAATAAGAGCCACCCCCCCCCCCCCCTTATGTACCTTTCGGGTACAGCAAGGTTTGAGTTCCCTCAGACCTCAGAAGGACGGTCAGGAAGAAGGGTACTTAATCAAGAAAACCAGCTCGGCACCGAGGTCACTGCCTGGCAGCAGAAGAGGAGAATTGAACCGCGTCGTACCAGTTGGCGAGACCGTGCTTAGGTGTGAGTGTATGTGTGTGTGCGTGCGAGAATGTACCCCAAATGATGTGATGCTTGATCAGCATGTATTTCAACAGCCCATAGCACATCGCCTTTGTCCCTGTATGTTGCACCGCGCTGTAGTGGCATCAATAGCTGCAGAAAAAGTCCCTTGGACGAAAGATAAGAATCGGCCGGGCGGTCGCTTATAAAGCTATGAGCAGGCAAGCAGAGCCGAGCACGACGATGCAAGGAGACCACGCTCTTTCTGTCTAC